AAAGGCCCATAAGAAATATTACAAGGAAAAGAGACCTGAACTACAGATGAGGTTGAGTGACTGGATTCCTGTCCAGCAGTGAAATGAATAAACTGAATCTATACATAACTAAAAATCTGAAAATATAACTTTAAATTAAAATAACAAGTTGCAAAAGGATACGTAAAATGTTATCCATATGTGTACATGTTAAACAAATAATAGTTTATGTTGCTTATGCATGCATACATATGTAGAAAAAAATGTTTAATTTATAATTTCATGTTTCAATTTTCAATTCTCATTTAATACATGAGAATTAGAATGCCAATTTCACAACTTCAAGATATTGGCTTCCTCTGGGAGGAAAGAAGCTTGAAGGAACTGTGGGTGGGGTGGGAGGGTGCAAAGGGGACTTCAGCTATATCTTCAATGTTCTATTTCATTTGTATTGGAGAAAATGACAAAGAGACAGAAACAGATCCGAAGGCCAGAAAGCAAAATGTCATTGTCTTTTAGGCATTATGGGGAGACCATGTAGATGTCTGTTATATTATTTTCTATACTTTTGATATGTTTGAAATGTATTATACTTTTAAATTATTTGGGGGTTAAAAAATTGCCAGCCATACTATAAATCTTCATACAACAAAGTGCACTGTCCCGTGACCATATTCCTGAATAACCTCACAATTGACACAGCTACTAGATTTATAGACAAGAGGCAATACAGAATTAGCTTTGTCAGAAAGCTTCCTCAGAAATTACAAACCGAGGATTATGTCAGTGGTTGGAGGATACCAGAGTTAACACTACTGATCCACTAGGGACGATTGCAACGTTTTACTAAACAGCTGCTGCTAAATTCAATGTCAGAATTAAATTACTACTAAGGGTGAGTGAGTGCCCTATGATCCTGGCCTTGCAAATGAAGTTGGAGAGATATCTNCTACTGTTATGAATCGTAGTGTAAATATCTTTTTGTTTTCCGATGGTCTTAGGCGACCCCTGTGAAAGGGTCGTTTGACCCCCAAAGGGGTCGCGACCCACAGGTTGAGAACCGCTGCTCTAGGTGAAGCATTCTCTTAACCACTCTATTTAAAACTGTAAATTTCCCCTAACTTAGTACTCTCTAGGCACCTCCTTAACCTCTCTTTCTCTAGCACTGAAAGAGTTCTATTAAACTACTGCTTCTCAACTATTTGGTCTCAGGACCCTTTTATACTCCTAAAAATTAATGAGGATCCTATAATGGACCAAGTTTGTGTTTGCCCTCCAAAACCCCAATATTGAAACTCTACCTCCCAATGTGATAGCATTAGAAAGTGGGGCCTTTGGGAGGTAATCAGGATTAGGCGAGGTCATGAAGATGGAGCCCTCAAGAATGTAACTAGTGCCCTTGTAACAGTCACAGGGGAGCTTGCTTCTCTCTGCTCTCGGCCATATGAGGCTACAAGGAGAACACAGGCATCTATAAGCCAAGAAGTGGGCTCTCGCCAGACACCAGATCAGCTCACACCTTAATCTTGGACTTCTCAAGACTGTAGAACTGTGCGATATAAATTTCTATTGTTGATAGTCTATCTCGTTTAAAGGATTTTGTTATAGCAGCCAAGCCAAGACAGACCCCAAAGAGTGCTCATGTAGCTTCTACCGGTCGACATTTACCATATTTGAAATAAAACCAACTTTTAAAATATTTATTAATGTTTAAAATAATAAGCCCATAAATGTTAACAAATATTTTCATGAAAGATCATATATTTTTCAAAACCAAAAAAGTTTAGTGTGAAGACTGATATGGTTTTATAAATTTTTGCAAATTTCCATGTCTGCTTCACAGGAAATAGCTGGATTATCACAGCTGCTTCTGCTTTCAATGCATTCAATGTGTTGCAACAGGCTGTTTTGGGTAAAGTATGTGAATGAAATCTGACCATACATAGATATGTAGTTAGAGAAGGGAGGGATGTTTTAATAGCTTTTTCATATAACTGAGAATGTTCTTTGATATTCACAAAAACTCAGTGAGTGATAATATCTTAGAAGTTATTATAAAATGAAATATTAAACCATATTAATGAACTTTTAGTACTGTTACCTTAAAATCCCTTGGTCTATCTTGCATTTTGAATGGCATTTCTAAAATGAATGATTTTAAAGATATTACATTGATTCATTTTACAATATTGATTCAGAATTATGCAGAGCTTCCATATATTGACATATTGCATTACCCAACATCTCAAAATCAAATTAATATTACACCAACCTCATCAGAAAACTCAGCTATTGGGAAGCCATCAAGCTTGCAGTTAGAGGCACAAGTTTTCTGACTTTCTAATTTTGCCTTTTTAAGGCTTGAACTTCATTATTGACAAACACTGTCAGTTGTTTCCCTTCAAGTGTCAGGTCTGCTTCATTCATTTCTCCACCCGCCCTCCCCCCCCAAAAAAATGTCTGCAAAATATCCAAACCTGAATAACCATAGTTTGTTACTGAAGTAAAAATGAAACCATACAATGGTTATATGCCATATAATGGAAACTACTCAACAATAGAAGGGAACAAAGCATTGATATACAACAGAGATGGATCTCAAAATAATTATTCTGAATGAAAGAAAGCTGAGAGAAAATACACACTGTATTCCATTAATAGAAAAAATAAAATGGAATAAGCATTGCTAAAGTCACTTAAAATAGAATCAGGAAGCTATTAAAGAAGTTGGGCCTGTGCGGGTCTTGTGCCTCAGTTTCAGAGCTGAGCTATATATTTGCTAAACCTGTTGATACATTCAGCTAAGGATTAGCCATAAACATTCTAAAACTGCTGCACTGAACACTGCAGTAAAGAAGACGTTACCTCTTTTCTAGTTTTCACCTCCCTCGTTTGCATATTGGAACTAATCAATCCCTGTTAACACAGCCAGCAATATTTCATTTGCATGAAAGAATTACACTTTGTGGTTTTTGCCTTTTAAACCCTGTCTTGCTTTGTTCTCTCCAGAGGGCAGCTTGAGTTGCTGCCTGAATCTGTGTTGCCTGGGTTCCATCTCCTTTTGCTCAAACGCCTTCTTTATTACAGTCTGTACCTCTTCTTTGGTTAACACCCGTTATACAAAATTCTAGAAAATGCAAACTAATCTAGTCACAGAAAGCAGATCAGTATTGCAGGAACGGAGGGCAAAAGAAACTTTTGGGGGTCGTGGATATGTTTATTATCTTGCTTATAGTGCTTTCATCAGTGCATATGTGTGTCAAGTGTCACCAACTGTACACTTAATGTGTATATTGTTGTTCTTCAATTATACTTAAGTGAAGCGGTAAAACACACACACATCCCACACAACCTAAATATTTACCCATGGTGGAACATTAGAATAAATTATAGCGCTCTTTTATTCTTTTAATTACTACTAAAAAGCACTGTTATATCGATTGGCTCTGATGACTAGGTGTTAGGAATACCATAAGGGGTGAAGGATAAATTAGGAGATGGAATTGGAAAAACAGAAGTGGGACTAACTTTACCTTCCATTTAGCCAACATGCGGCCAAGGGCTCGTATTTCTTTTTTAAATTCCAAAAGGTAAAAAGTTAGTTTTGAATGTGTACTGAAGTATTACAATAATTAAGCGACTCAGCAAAAGTACATTTCTTCTGAAGAGCGTTTCCATACCCTGAGCTGACGTCTTTCCATCTCCACAGGTAACACAGCCCCGCCGGTCTCAGCCATCGCTGAACCGACCCTGGGGCACTCCGTCTCTGAACCAGGCGTTTCCTTCAGGTCAGGGAGACCCGGTACCCACTCACAGGCCGAGCAGCAGACGCCGTTAGCGGGCAAGGAGCGCAGCCGGAGCCAAGGGGGCGCCACCACAGCCAGCAAAGAGCGGGGGCCCACTCCCAAAGCCAAAGTCACGATGGTTAACGGAACAAAGGGAAAGGGGCAGGGGCACGCTTCTGAGAACAGCGCCGCCTTAGAGCAGACTGACCATACAGAAGGAGAGCTTGGACTTACCGAGAGCCCCCAGCGCAATCAGGCCGTTCTTCCCGAAGCCCTAAGACGGCCAGCACCCAATATGGCGGCCAAGATGAAGCCCGTTGTCTCCCCTTGTAGGCCCCGAGGTGCATGCGCAGAGCGTGCAGCGGCCAAGGGCAGAGCCCCGGGCTCACAGCTGGGCGCAGTTTGTCCCGCCCTGAGGGCCGAAAGGCCGCTGGAGGCCCTGGAACGGGGGTGCCCAAACAACCTGAGCTCCATGCTCCGGGTGGGCAGTGTCACAGCCTTGTCTCTCAGGAATATACTTAAGGCCTGGATTAGAGCCTTGAGGACGGGGAGGGTTTTGAGGGGTGGCTGTCTGAGTAGGGCTAGGGTGATAAAGGATGTAGTTTGTATATGCATTTGGCACATTGGGATGGGGTCAAACCCCCTCCCCTTGTCTTATTGTGGATTACAGAGCACAGGTTGTGGCTGCCCAAAATAGGAACCCAGGAGCCCCCACTGAATTTACACATTAGTGAAAGTAATTGCCAGTATTTGAACACCTGCTAATCAGCTATTTACATATGTTATTGCCTCTAATTATATTTCTCTATTTTGGAGAAACTTGAATTGGATCTGTGCATTAGACAGTAGTAATTTATGATGTTAATTTCCTGATCCCAATGAGGTTATTGGGGTTACTAGGAGAAAACCCTTGCTTGTAGTAAATAGGCACTAAAGTATTGGGGGTAGTTGGGTATGTTGTCAGAAATTTACGTTCAAATGATAGAGTTGGAGGGGGGGGTTCTACTCTTCTTGTACCTTTCCTGTAAATTTGAAATTATTTCAAAAGGTAAAGAAAAAATGTTAATTTAAAAATTACAATAGCTGTGCAACTCTCACTATTTTTCTAAATTTTGTAGCAATTTATATTATATATAAATTTATAAATTACTACAACAGTATGACAGAATAGGAACTCAACTATAAAGTCATCTAGGCATGGGTATTTGGGGGAAGACAAATTCTTTGACTTCCATATAAATTCTTTCATACTCACAGGTATAGTCACGCTTTCTATTCCTTGCATGAATTTTGTCATTTTAGTTTTTGTATCAATTTATCTATTTCTCCTAGTTTTACAAATTTATTAATGTACAGTTTTAATAATACAAGAATATTATTTTGAAATCTATGTGTGACTATTTCTTCCTTTATTCTGTATTTTATTTATATCTTCTCACTTTTTTCCTTGACAAATCTTGTTAATCTTCTCTATTGGTATTTCGTGTTCTAATTGTTCTCTATTTCATATTTCTTTATCTGTATTCTTTTCTCTTTTAAAATTTCTTTGAATTAATTTTACTTATTTTCATCTTCTCCCATTGAGTATTTACTGTCTATA